GAGGGGGTAGAGGGGGGTAGAGGCGGTTAATTGCCATTGGCCAGAATGCCGGAGTTGGTCAGACAGCATTTATTCCTTCCCTAGGCAGTGTCTACTGGTTCTACTCTTACCCTTACCAAGGTCTTAAACCCTTCCGACTCAACTCGTCGGGTGCCATGTTGCTAGCATAGCCTAGTATCATTGCTGTATTAGGGGTTGTGTTATTGTTCATGCTGAGGGGGCAAGGTTATCGATCCAGTCTCCCATAAGTTCGCCGCAGGGCCGATTCCTGCCAGTGAAGACCTCTGGCTCATCCCCCCCCCCTTGCACCCTCAGTCGGAACCGAATGTTTCCATGGAGCCACCCTAGGCAATGTCTTACCTAAGCCAACTCTAGACCAGTCTGGGTGCCTAATGGCATTATGTCAGGGCTGGTACGAGTGCCACTCTGTTGTCTGGCATTGAATGTTTCCATCATGGAGCCACCATAGGCAGTGTCTTACCTAAGCGAACTCTAGACCAGCCTGGAGGAACCCCAGCCATTGACTGGTGTCTGGAGGAGGGCTGTCTATTCGCTAGCAACGGGGTAGGGGCGCATAGAGTCGCCCCTCCGCAGACGAGGCAAGGTGCTTCTAGGAGGGCCATACAGACATACTACCTACACAGCTCACAGGTACTTGTGGAGGGTGGAGGTGGTATAAACACCTCTCACCGGTACTCACTTCGCAGATGCTCCATGGTGGGAAGCACTGCATCTACTACAGGTCCACACACATTACAAACATACGCATAGCCTACGGGCACATATCTACAATACAGGGAAACACTCACACGTAGTATTACATTAAAAAAAAAAAAAAAACACGGCTCCTCCCAGCCGTGTTTTTTTTTTTTTTTTAAACAACCCGACGAGGTGCTAGATGTGCTGATAAGAGCAGACACCTCTAGTACCTGCGGGGAGGCTCCATCTATTGGTGGGGAGCAGCACCTGCTGGAAATCGGGCCCAGCGTCCCATTGAATACATCATTGTAGCACCGCAATTGTTGGGCCTATAGCCATTAAAGTTCTTGCTTCGCAGCATCATACTTTCCCTCGGGGCTGCATATTTTACCCTCCCACTTTGTCGAGCTCCTACTTCCCTGTGGCCTGGCCCACCCAGGATGGTGTCCACCGTGCTTTGATATCTGCACTCGTGCTGCCAGTGGCAGGACTACTATCCTCGGTGTTTGCAGCCCCCCTTATCCTGACCTCTATAGATCTGAAATCCTTTGTACCCTTATAACCTTTGCCTCATGCTATGCTTCATTCCCATCCGAGAGATCTTTCAGGCCCCTAAGCCCTGTCCCTCTCTCAGAGGCCATGCGTGCTTGGTGGGAAGTGACGCCTGCTGGAAACCGGGTCTAGCGTCCCTTGGGAGGAGGTCTCGATCAACTGATGATGATGATAGG